TATTTATTTATGACATCATGAAATTATCCATTTGACCCAAATGGTGTTGAAATACTTACCCACGACCTAGATGGAAAATATGATTTCATTTTTAGTTTTATTTTAAAAATATAAAATTGCATTCTATTAATAATTATTGTCTATGGATTTATTAGTGGAATTTAATGATGATAAACAAAAGTATTTTTTATATTTTAAATTTGTATTATTTATTTTTGACATCATGAAATTATTCATTTGACCAAAATGGTTGAACTACTTACCCACCACATAGATGAAAAATATGATTTCATTTCTATGTTTATTTTAAAAATATAAAATTTTATTCTATTAATAATCATTGTGTATGAATTTATTAGTGGAATTTAATGATGATAAACAAAAGTATAAATGTTGGATACAATGAGAGAGAATGTGATTTATTTAATGACTTAAATGTGAGACTTGACGAAAGGTAATTGAATGTACTTAACGGTATTCTTTTAATTACATTTTTGCCCTTTCAATGGAGATGAATTAAATTCAAGAGGAGGGGTATTTTAGTAAAAAAAAATTCCATAAGCCAATACCTCCTCATTCGCACTTTTATAAGTAGTGTATATATATCCTTTTTGCAGTTAAAATGCCCTATGAACACTAAGTTTTTAAATGCAAAAAGGAAATAACTCCTTAAAATAAGGAATGCCAAATGCAGCCTAAGAAGCTATGGTTGAATCATGAAGAAGAAAAAAAATACAAATAAAGTGCCTACCCATAAAACGGTTCTTGTATTTGGAATCATCGTTCAAGTATGAGTTTAGTGCATATATAGTTTGAATGAAGGGCCCGCACATTTTTTGGAATTTGAGAGGGGGGAAAGTTGGTCAATGGGAACCAAAATACCCATGTTCTTTTTTAGATTTATGTGGGGTTCACATTTGTGGGTAAGTGATACCCACCTTCTAGGTGGATAAATAACTTTTCCACCTTAGGGGAAAGTTGCCAACACTTGCATGGGACAAAATTGCATCTTCTACTAATGGCTTTTCATGGTTAAAATGGTCATTGTCTTATTTACCTGGGAAATAAAAGAATAGGGGTAAATGCACTTACCCGGATAAGTAACTTCCTGAAAAGTGAACGGGGCCTAAGGGTTTGTTCGTTTTTTGGATTTTGAGAGGGGGGAAGTTGGTCAATGGGATTTTGGTTCCCATTGACCAAGAAACCCATGTTCTTTTTTCAAATTTATGTGGGGACCAGTGAAAATTTGTTTTCCTTGGTATCTATAGTGATTCCCATCTCTTGGATGGATAAATAACTTTACCACCTAGGAGAAGGTTGTCAACACTTGGATGGAATAGAAATGACCCTTTTAATAATGGATTTTTATGGCTAAAACGAGCATTGTCTTATTTACTTATAAAATAATAATTTACCAAAAAGCGAACAAAGCCTAAGTGACTCTCTTACTCACTTGTTACAAACCAATGCTATTTGTGCAATGAATGTTATAACCAATTGCTGAAGACAAGAAAGGTTATGATGGTAAGATGGTGTTGGATAAAAATAAGAGCTGAAAGCAGAATGCTCAAAAGATTTTTGCTTAAAAGTATGTCCATTCAACATTTCAACAACTCAAGACCTGCTTAATTGCTTAATAACTTTAATAGGGTTTAGATTTGAAACAAATAATTGGTAAGCCATACAAGATAAAACTTTTTATCCTTTATTTATTTATTTATTGATGTTTTGTGATGTATTCCCCATAGGGGCCATTGAGTTGCTGGAATGAGCACCAATTGAGCCATTCATCTGCCATTAGTTGGTAAACATGAAATTCCAAAAACAAATATAAAATGATAAGGGACATTACAAAAAATACAAAAAAAGGAAGGTGAGTTTTCTCTTTGCTTCTTTCTTTCTTTCTTTCTTTCTTTATTTATTTATTGTTTTTTTAGCTTGAAAGGTAGGGAGAGCAAAGGAAAACATTGGACAGAGAGGAAGCAAAACAGGTCTCATTCTCTTCTAAAAGAAAAGCCTTATTTTTGTTTCATTTCCTTTTCTTTTATTTTCTCTCATTTTCTTCCTGATCTAATACAAGAAAATCAAAATTCTCTTCCATTTTCTCTTTTTCTTTATTCTCTTTAATTTGCCTTCTCTTTTCATTTATTTTCTTTGATATGCTTATATTGTTTCCTATTGTCAAGTTCCATGCAGCTGTAATTTGTTGTAAGTTGTGGCATGATCCTTTTTTCCCTTTTTCTTTTAACAAAAAGTAAAAGCTACTGAGGTGGAGATAGATTTCGGGCATCTCCCGTTCTTTCCTTGGGTGGGTTACATACAAAAGCCCCTCTACCCTTTCAATAGGAATGAGTGTGAGAGAAGAAAGCTTCACAACAAATATCAATGTGTATCAGCATGAGATACAAAAGAGTTATTTATTTTATTTTGTCAAAATTTTTCTAATACTCCTAAGGTTTAAGAAATTAACTTTATTTCTACTGTTTAGATATTGTATTAAAGTATCTTTAAGGTTTTTGACAATTGTCTAAAACTTATCTTATCGTCTAACCCATTTACATGTAATATGAGACTAATATATTTTTCAAAAATTCTTAAAATATCTTTTTATAGTTGAAAATGCCCTATTCTGTTTGGGACGGAGACAAACCTTAGATATTGGTAGTCACCCGGCATTTTCCTATAGACCAGTTCTGCTATTGATAGCCACCAACAACAGCACAAGGATGAAGACGAAACCAGAGATGGTATTGGTAGTCACCGGTTTTGCTATTGGTAGTTCCGATTCTGAGACTACTGAAGAAAGCAACGACACTAAAAACCCTAAACTTGAAGTTGGGGTTTTGGAATCTGTAGATAAAGAATGGGAACACCATTTTCATTCTCTAAGATATCCCCGCTCTCAGAATCCACTTGGTAACTAACCACGGCGGAGCCATGGCCCCCCTGTGGTTCAGAAATTTGTACACTCAATACAATTTTATATGTAAATTTGTTCTCTTTCTTCACTTTTCATACAGTGGTTGTTTTGGCCCCTTATAAAAAATTCCTGACTCTGTCCCTGTAACTAAACCGTACAATGCCAAAGGGAGAGCTTTGTGCTTGCAATTCAGAGAAAATCTCTTTAATAATCTCAAAAATTCCAACAAACTTGAATCTAAAGAAGGGAAAGAGAGAAACATTTCCGAATTAAGAATCACCATAATTGAAATTTCCAGAAGCTTCAAGCAATTCTTCCCAGATCGAGATCAAAAGTCCACGACAATGGAGGTTTCTTCCCAGATCGAGATCAAAAGTCCATGACAATGAAGGTCTTAGCCTAGACTAAGCCCTAACTCTACTTTTGAGATCTCTCTCTCTCTCTCTCGTAATATAGGTCATGGAGTTGGAAAGCCAGTTCTCCAAGTGACGATTCCAGTAGCAGCTTCAATGCATGCAAACACCATCAGAACATCGGCCATCGTCAGACAGACAATTGAACTCATCCAATCCGATGACCCGGTTTCCAGAATTTAGGCGTTTAGAGAAATCCGACGCCTCACCAAGACGTCTCAGTCTCTCAGAGGTACCGGCAACAGTTCTCGGGCGCAATTGAACCACTCGTTTCCATGCTGAGATCTTAAGTTTCCAGAATTCAGGCGGCTAGAGAAATCTGATGCCTCACCAAGATGTCTCAGAGGTACTGACAACAGTTCTCGGTTACAATTGAACCACTCATTTCCATGTTGAGATCTGAGTTTCCAGAATTCAAGCGGCTAGAGAAATCCAGCGCCTCACCAAGACGTCTCAGAGGTACTGACAGTAGTTATTGGGCACAATTGAACCACTCATTTCCAGGTTAAGATCTGAGTCTATTGAATGCAACGAAGCCTTTCTTCTCGTCATTCTCAATCTTGTTGTCAAAGATGAGATGCACGTGTTTCTTTCTCTTTTCAATTTATGGTTTTTTTTCTTCACCTAGGTCAAGCAGCTGCCATTTCTGCTCGAGAATTTTCATTCTGGTTCAGCGGTCAGAAGTTGCAGCGATAACCGTGGCAGGTATTGGAGTTTCTCCTCTTGGAAGGCTGCAGCGGATATATTCTTTTGAGATAGGATTTAATTAAAGGGTAAAATTGATATTTCATATTTTCATTAGGATTTAAGGTTGCTTGGAGGTATTTTAAGATAACATGTAAATAGTAAGGATAGAATTAGTCAATTTCTAAATTTTAAGGTTATTTGAAGAAATTTGTCCTTGACATTAGAATAGAAATTTATCATTCCAGAGCTTTAAAACAACTTTAAAATTTATTAGTATCAATGTATCCATGTGCATATGAATGCATCAATATGAATACAATATCCATATTTTAATTCTTTCTTCACAATCCATCATCCAAATCTTCAAAATAAACCCTCAAATTCATACTCTGCAAAAGAACTTCACTAAATTAACATAAAATATACCAACTAGGTGGTGACTAATTGGTACATTAACTGAGTAGTCCTAGTGGGTATGGATTCAAATCCCGCTATTACCACTTACCTCCAATAATTATTAACGTGCTGTGTTAAATACCAAGAAAAAATGAATTAACTGGATTGGGAAGGGAAGGTGATGAAGGGATGTCTTGCATTCCAAAGAATTTGTTACAACTAAAATGGGGTCTATATATATCGTATCACATTATACTCAAATGTCAGGAAAACATACAAATTAAAACCTAATCAGTGATAGCTCCATATGTACGTAGTAGGAAAATATACACAGAGAGATAGAGAGGAATAGAGAGAAATGGATAATAATTAATTGGATATACATATACATATGAAATTAACATAAACAAAGGAATATATCATGGATATATATATAGAGAGAGAGGATTAAATCTCAATAACGACATTGACCACAAAAAAATAACAAGGGTGATAGCTCCATGGAATCAACTGGTCGAAGCTGATGAGAGGGAGAGATGATTTGGATGAGTGGTGACAGTTGAGGTGGCTTTTGTTTTGTTTTTTCAACAGAAGGGGCTCTCGCCAACAAAATTGCCAGAAGGGTAATAGTTACAAATAGCGAACATACCACCATTATCGCAATGACGAAGGGCGCAGCCCAGTTGCGTGCTGTTCCTCCACACAATTTGGGTGTAGTGGCCGCACAGGCTGCCTTCGTGGCACTGGTTGGTAACGGAGTCGTAGTTCATGCACTCGTTCACCCAGTAACGCACCACATCCACGGCTGTCCACACGGCGGTGCCACCCCAGAAGATGTTCTCGCCCAATTCAGTATTATTGGAGTGAATCATAAGGCAATCCTTGACGCGCTCAGCTGCAAATCTACGTGCGAACCGCGCCAGCTTCTTGTCCCACGTAAACAGAGGTTCCTTCATGTATGCCCGCACACGGTTGTGAGCCCAGAGGAACTCTCCCCGCTCAGATCGACCCGACTCTACATGTTTTGGAAGGGTAGACTGAACCAAGGCCGAGAGAACGATGTCGTCGGGTTCAAGGAAGTGGTGTTTGTTTCTGGGTTCTTGTTCTTCCTGGTTCGGGGGTTCTTCGTGCCCCCCGCCGATACCGACTCGGACGGGTCCTTCGTGCCCCCCGATCCCCATTTGGATGGCTCCTTCGTTTCCATGTTCTTTGGCGATGGCCGGAATTAAGAGACTGGTCGATACAAGCAAAGCTAACGCAGTCATCATCCCACCGCTCACCATGGACTTCGCCATTGTCTGTCTTTTTTTTTTTTTCCTTTTATTGAGATTGAATTGAATCCTATGTATGTTTATGTTTATGTTTATGTATACGAATGCGCGCTTCTTTATTGTTTAACCTGTGGATATTGTAAGAGAAGCAGCGCTAGAGTGGTACAAGTTTGAGGAGACGATGTTTTAATATTTGGCTAGGCTTCCCCATTACATTATTATAACTGAATCCCTTCTGTGAAACGAAAACAAGGGAATGCCATACATTTCTTTCTACTGCATTCACAACTGTCTGGTGGATTGAGTGGTGGGGGTGGGGGAGGAAAATTTTGATTTTTTTTTTTCAGAAGGCTTTTTCTTCCCGCCTCAGACCTGCAATTCCAACGGCTAATATGGTTTCAGGACTCAGTCAACACGTTTGACACGGACACCCTTATCAAACCTAATGCCTAATTGAAGGTTTAATAACTGATTAAGGAAGGCCTAGGCATCTAGGTATCAGATTTATGTACCTATGTTCATCTAATTAAGCAGCTCCATAGCTCTCTTATGGGGGCCTTAATAATCTTTAAATGATAAAAATATGGACAATCCCTCAAATAATAATAGTCAATTTAACTACATTTTGGGATCTAAAGCTAAACCTATGCCAAGTTACTTCTTTCCATCTCTTCCAGATCTTATACAAGTTGGTTTAATTAAAATGTGTGGGATTTAATTTGTATCAGTGTCTTTAATCCATAGTTGACCTGATCGACCGGACCAGTTATCCAACCACAAATTCCGGTTCAGGTCAAGCCAACATTTAACAACCAATTTTTGTGATTGGTTCAAAGTCCGACCACCTGGAAAAAAACTGTTATGAAGAGATGAACATTGTTCTTCACTATGAAAGCAAAAGTTTTCCTGTGGTTTTATCCAAAAACCAACCCTAGACCAATTTAGATGCATTCTTCCTTTCCTCTCTCTCAAAACCTAAGAAGCCCTTGATCACAAGGCTGTGGATTTTGTCATTCTATAATGTTACAAGACACATTCTAATTATAGTTACAATAGGAAACCCATAATTGGAGACAGCAGCTGGGTTGTGAAAGGAAATTATCGCATAACCAACAGTCTTAGCCCCAATCCATTGATTTCCCAAAAGAAGACATTACAATGGGTCCTGGATCTGTCATTCAATCTATTGACAGACCATATTATTACAAGGACTTCACCAGAAGAATGTCAGTACTGCAATGAAATAACCTATACCTTACCACCGATTGGTTTAAAATTAACTGTGATTGATATAGGACGATTATGTTTAGCTGTATAATTCACTCTAATTATGGTTTTGTTCTGTAGAGTAAAAGGTATCATCAGAGAACCTGGAGGCAGAGCTATTAGCTCTTTAGTTGTTCTGTTGATTCATTTGCTTCAGCTGGATCAGATGGCATTTTGATCTGGTAAATTCCCCAAGCATGGTTTCATGTTAGGCTAAGATACCAAGGCTGCATTTGGGCATCCCTTATTTTAAGGACTTAATCTCCTTTTTGCAGTTAAAATGCCCCTACGAACACAGAGTTTTTAACTGCAAAAAGGAGATAAGTCCTTAAAATAAGGAATGCCAAATGCAGCCTAAGCATGATCCAACACCGCGTGTCACTACTAAACTAATCTATCAATGATAAGGGAAAATAAGCCTGGAGCTGCAAGCACAATAATGAGCATGAAAACAGTGACTGTCACTTGGCCTGTTGAAGTACAAAGAGACATGTGCATGTGTAAATCTGTGGGTATATGTCTCAACGTCTTGACATGACAACATTTTTAATGAGCTTGAGAGATTCTTCAAGATCACCCAAGAGCCTCTGAGGATCAGGAATCACATCTTGATCAACAGCTAGAACAATGGTCATTTTGTCCATGTAACTTTGGAAATGAATGGTGAGGGCCTGCATATTTATTAACATTTAGGTATTAGATTTTAGTCAACATACAATCTTGAGATGGACAGTGTATTATTGAGGTCCAATACTAATTCTAAATTGCAATTGAGGTCCACAAAGTCAGAAAACTCAATCCCCAATGCTTACTTGAAATGGACAGTGTATTATTGAAACGCATAATGAACTAGTCCATCTCATACTAATAAACAGTTGATCAATACTTGATTGAATAAGGAAGGCACAAAAAGGTTCTTGAAGGAAAAGACTTACATGTGGGTGTCCATAAACACTGGGAGCAAGGTAAACAATTGGATGCCCACAAAAACTGATTTCTTCTACTGGCCCAACAACATTTGAGTAGGACATTGTTGTGTTTGACAGAATTCTGTGGCATAGAAGAGCAGCTGCCTATAACACGTGGAGAAAAAAATCATTGTTTATAAGATGCTAATAATGAATACATATGACATCCCTTTCTCCAAAAATCTCCCAGGAAAATTGAAGACAGGAATAGAGATGTTAATACCTTCTGGCCAATGGACTTGACGATTATTGTGGCACAAACGAATGTGAACATTGATTCAAGAGAGATCTTCTTTCGATCGATCGTGGCTTTTGCTTCGCGGACATAATCTAATGGATCATCATGTAAGGCAATCTTGAAGGGGAGGAGAACGTAGCCAAGCCAATTGCCCCACTTAGCTTCACTCTTGTTATCCATCATGTCAGCTAGAGCCTAGTTATTGAATATATCACAAAGATGTCTCTTTATTACAGGATTCAGATCCAGTTACCAGTTCAGTAGAACTATGGTTAGGAAACTCAATGCAGCAAGTGCACTAATGCAACAGACTTTAAATATGGTTCATATTTTTAATACTCAACAGAAGAAAATAGTCAAAAGTTGATGGTTCTTCCTTTGAAAGTTCATGTGAGAAGAAACATAGAGTTACCTGGATCCCTGTAGATGGTCTTATGTTAACAAGAAGAGCTGCTCTCAGGCGGATATGTTTTGGAAGATTATTTCTCTTCCTTGTTGCTTCCTCATCCATTTTACTCTCACCTGTTAGATGTAAGAATCTTCCAATGAGACTAAGAGCTAAAAAAACAATGTATAAGGCAAAATCTGATTCTGTTGAACCATTGGAATACTGGGTAGAGGGGAGAAGCACAGATATCAAATTCTGTTTTATAAAACTTGCACTTTCTAATATGTTTTGGCTGAAATACATGCAATTTTTTTTTAATTATTGCTTATGAAACTATCAATCCACAGAATCTACCAATGAACAATTTGGTACTTGCTTATTCACCCTTGACATATCAAGGGCAATGTAATGGCATCTCAAACTACGACCAAAAGAATTTAAAAAAAAAAAAAAATTGTCGGGCTAAGTATAAAAGGGGTATGTGATTTATTCAAAAGCTAATACTTAATAACCAACAAGAGGGCTCATTAGGTGCAGGGGTGCATTTAACCGTTGTAGTTGTGTCACATGGGAAGCCTAGTACCAAGTCAACAGCGTACAGACTACTGAAAGTGCCAACTAGCCTGCTGGTAAAGTCTTTGGCTTGTTGTAGCAGAGACCTGGGATTGAGTCCTTCCTTGTCAGGGACGGGGTTTGCGGATTTGGGGAGGGATACCCTTGTTGTGTAGCACATTACCGAAAAAAAGGAAGAGAAAGGAAAGAAAGCACAATAAAAAGGGCTGCAAACGGATTCAATTGCCCAAATTTGAATACAAATTTGATCTGTTTATAATTGGGTCCAATCAACCCCTTTGTCATCTGATATGGTCCAGTTTGATTTGATTTATATATATATATATATATATATATATATATAAGTTTTATATTTTATCTATATTGCTAAGGTTAGTTTGAATGTTGTGTTTTTACTAAATTTTCATATTTTCAAGTTATTTTTAATCATTTTGAGTTTAACTTATTTAAACCATTCAATTTTCAATTGCAATCCAAATTGCATACCCATGGATAACATCTAATGCAAATTCGAACATAAACAAATGCCACATTTAGATATACTATTTGATTTCATCCATTTGCAGTCCTATACTCCTATATTAAATGGTCCAACTGACCAACTTGATCAAAGTATCAAAATCATGTGCTTTAAAAAAAGGAATAAATGCACCTTGGTCAAAGTATCAAAAAAAACATTTCATATATAATTGTTTGAGTTTTGAACTTTTTTGCAACATTAGTTCATTACAAGCTCAACACCACCTTGGTCCTTAGACATAGAATTGCACAGACAACAAATATGTTCACCGCAAAACCTTGTATATAGTATTTTTAAACCTTGCATTTGCACTGTACATATTTGTATTTTCACTCTCCCCAAACTGAGCCTTAGGCCCGTTCACTTTTCGGTAAGTTATTTATTCAAGTAAATGTTTCCCAGGTAAGTGCATTTACCCATGTTCTTTTATTTTCTAGATAAATAAAATGGCCATTTTAGCCATAAAAATTTCAGTATTAAATGGCCATTTTTGTCCCATCTAAGTGTTGGCAAATTTCCCAATATGGAAAAGTTAATTTATCTACATAGGAGATGGGTGTCACTTACCCAAATAAGTGATACACAGGAAAATAAACTTTCCCTGGTCAACGTGAATCCCATTGACCAACTTTCCCACCTCTTAAAATCCCAAGACTTTACCAAGTCCTTGAATCTGCTTGAGTAACATTAACATTCCCCCCTAAGGTCGTGTTTGGTATCATTGCCACTTCAGGCTCAAACATTTAGAGATGTAATGGCATTTCATGTCAAAATGCTAACTTGATTGGTTGGTACTTATGCTGACTAGGCATTGAACAATTGTTTTCGGAAATATTGTGTTTAGTATTGGAATCATTACTTGAATATTTCGATGGTCAAATTTTAAAATAAATGTTTTCTGATGATTGGCTCCTAATTACACATATATTAACATTTGGATGCATATCTAATGGTTCTAGAAGCATAGAACCAATAAAAAAGAATCTTTGCTTTGGAGGTAGAATTTATGGGTATTTGATGGTCTATATCCATCTTTGCTGCTATGCTCGGTCATTTGACTGTTTTTTTTTTTTCAAATGGGTAGTTGACGCCCCCAATACCCCACGGTTTATGTTTCTTGGGAAAAAAAAGCATTTTATTACTGTTTTGACTCAAAACAGTCTCAACCAAACAGAAAATTCACATTAGAACTTAGGGTTCAGTTGCTTCGCGGGAATAGGGGTGTGGAATAGGAATCAGAATAGGCTAACTGTTTGGTTCGATGGATTCGGAATCCCATTCCCATTTCTGGTGGAATGGCATTCCCCATTCGAAGGAATGGCTATTCCCTCCCCCTTCTTTGGGAATGAAATTCCATTCTACCTTATTCCAATTTTCATTCCCTTCCTGTCTGAACCAAATAGACTACAGGTATATCATTCTGAATCCCACTCCAACTGTGAAGTGTGAACTAAACCGACACTTAAAATGCGTAGATGACGATGATGAGTACCACATTTACCTTCTGGCAAGAAGGGTTGCCTAAATTTATCAAAGCTATGGACACCAAAACGTCTGCATGAAATATAAAGATCAAAATGGAAAGAGGAACTGACCATATCTCCGGTTGAGATAGCGAGAAAGTCCTCCTTGTGTTACTCCTAGCACAACATCGTTTATGGTCTGCAAAGTTGATTCACAAATATGAGAAATTATAAACTTTTAAGAGGAAACAGAACTGAATAATTCCATGCATAGATAGGCAAGGAGAGAGGGATACACTATGACAATCATGGGCTATGAAGCTTCTTAACATGGATTGTATTTTGTAAGGTGTTTCTATTACCCAAAATAGATAAAAAATGGATACATCAGTTCAGCGTGGACCAACGACAATTTAACTGGCCCAAGCCCAGTAGCCCAGCCCAATAAGCCTAGGAGAGAGTAGACTGGGGCCAAATGTCCATTGTCACCCAAGACAGGTCCATAGGTATTGTCCTTGTATCTTAGGCTAAGTTTGGGAATGTTTGTTTTTAAGTGTTTATTCAAATAAGTATTTAACCACTTATTTTGGACCCGGATCACATTAAGAATCATTTATTTGTATTTGAGAAATAAATGTTTCTAAAAAAAAAACACTTATTCAAAAAGCCCAAATTCCTTTCTAATTTATCTTGATCCATCACATCATTTTGAAAATAACTATACTGCCCGAAATAAATGATTTTTCACCAAACACTCATGATCGCGTATTAGGATAATCCAACAATGACAACATTGTTTATTATCCATCCGGGTCCGGGTCCGGGTCCATGTGTTTTTACCCATCATGACCCGGTTAAAAATACTTGCTCGGGTCAACATTCAATCGGACATTTAAATGATTTGATCTGTTTGAAACGCCGCCCATGTGAGCCTGTATGGTTGTATTACAGGAACTTTGTTTACCTAAAACAAAAAAAAGTTACACGAACTTTATTTCAGTGTCTTGAAGATACGTTAGTTAAAGCTTTGACAGACTACCCAGAGCGGCTCTATCCTTCCCCAACCAATTGAATTGAGCTTGTATTACACGAACTTTATAAGGATGTTGATGATAATCAAATTTCAAATGACTATTAAAATGTTGACCCATCTTACCTGTTGAACAGGTTACCAACTTACTGTTTTTATTTTATTTAGAGGTGTAAATGGGTCCGGTCTGATTCAAGAGAGGAAGCATTACTCCCCAACCAATTATTAATCAATTGAATCAATTCAGTGTGACAGACCCACAACCATCTCATTTATTAATCGGGACCATTATGTCGGACCCAATTCGATCTTATTATAGTTGAGATGTATAATTACCTATGATAATAACAATTTAAATTTTATTTTTCATAATATAATTTTTAAAAAATGATTATATTGATAAAGTAAGTATTTTTAATTAAAATTATTTATATGCAATTTATAAAATTTATCCTTTTAAATAAAAATTATAAGAAAACCAACAAAAAAAAATGTTAAGGCCATGGAGTATAGTGTAGGACAATCAAGAAACAATAAGATGGATGAGTGAAAAAATTAGAAAATGTATACTTAGGAATGAAGTCATCTGCAATAATTCATGAGTAGCTCTGATAGGTGATAAAATGAGAGAAGGCAAATTAAGGTGGTTTGGTCATGTACATAGAAAACCACCACTAACGTCAAATAGAAGAGGTGATTTGTTATAAATTGAAGGAACTAAAAGAGACCAGGGTAGAGATGGCAGTTTTCCCTATCCCCACTAAGTACTTGGCTTTGGGTTGGGGATGGGGATGGGGATGGATAGTGACACTTGACCAAGGATGGGGAGTGAGTTTCATTCCCCGCCCCACCCCCAACCTTTATTTCCCTATCCCCACTAAGTACTTGGCTTTGGGTTGGGGATGGGGATGGGGATTGATAGTGACAATTGACCAAGGATGGGGAGTGAGTTCCATTCCCCGCCCCACCCCAATCTTTATTATATATATTAAATATATACATTATGATATTATTTATATCATATATATATCAAAATATAATTAAAATAATTTTATATTTAAAAAACCCTTATTAAAATCCCTCATTCTAAGTATATCTATTTTCTAAAAAAAAGCTTTTAATTTAAAATTTTTGAGGATTCAGATCCCCAATGGGGAATCCATCTTTGGCAAGGATAAGGGATGGAAGGTCATTTTTATCCCCAACAGGGCTTATGGTCGTGGATGGGGAGTATTGACCCAACCCCATACTTGCCCCATTGCCATTCCTAACCCGGGGTAGACCAAAAAGGACATGTGTAGTAGTAAAAAATAATTTAGGCAATATGACTTTAAATAAAATAGATTGGCAAAACGAGACCGGATCTGCTCCTCACAACTGACGCCTCACCAGTGCCTCACACGCACATCCTACATGCATTGGAAACATCTACCAAACTTATTAATAAATATTCACAGGAGATGTTCCCAATACATGGTGGATGTGTGTGTAAGGCGCCCATTTATGAGGAGGAGATCCTGTGGGCAAAACAGGATTCAAGTAGTCAACTCCATATAGTTGGGGGATAAGGCATGGATAATGATGATGATGATGACAAAAGAACCAAAAGACCTTTAGGCTGCATTTATTTGTAGTGTAAATGTAAATTGATGTAAAACTCCACCACCAATTCGCATTTATTTGCATTTGTTTTCGGTGTAAATATAGACACCGGTGTAAAATTCCACCCTGGTCCATATTTTCACACACCCCATCAGTTGAGTTTTACATAGACAATCAATATAAATACACTACTTCAATTTTATTGATGTGTTATTTACATCGATTATCACACTTTAAAAATGTTCCAACGGTTTACTAATATTAAACCTATCAGCATTGAAAGTACATCGAAAACAAATGCAGCCTTATATATTATTAATTATATAATCGATTAGGTGTAAAACAATTCAGAACAACAAGAACCAATTCTAACCTAATTATTACTCAGGACAAAACCACATAACCAGAACCAACATAACCAATTCAATTGGCTCAGTTCTGTCAAATAGACCCAACCACTGACAGCCCTAATTTTATTCAACTTTTCTATAGAAGACATCCAGGTTGATCCATGTTCGAGGTGGGACTGCATCAATACATCTAGGCTGTGATTCACGGCTTTAGTTAAAGAGTACTCCAATGCAGGGTTTGAAAATCGGACCAGACTGGATGGTCGGACCAATTGTCCCAAGAAATTGTTAGGTAACCAATTCTGTTTCACCTAAAACTGGTCAGGAACTGATCCGACCAATTGACCCAAACAATCAAATTGTCGACCTGGATAATGATTTTTGACCGCTTTTTTATTTTATTTATGCTTTAAGTCAAAATGGGCTATCCCTATCCATTCAAACTGAACAGTCAGATCGTTCGATGCTTGAACTGGTCCTCAAACGGTCTCATGTCCGATCCAATTTTAAAAACCTTGCTTGAATGGGAATAGCTAATTTTTGGCGTTACAGTCATTTCAAATCAATACATAAAAGTAAAACCAATATTTTCGAACCACTGTTGACCCGGACGGTTAGACCATTTGGCTCAGGAACCGCCTAGGCAACCAATTCCGTTTTACCACAAACCCAGAATCTGGTCAAAAACCGTTGAAAAAGTCAACAAACCATTGATCCAGGCGCCCGAACCATCAATCCGTCAACCCATTCAACAGTTTTGACCGCTTTTTTATTTTTTAATTATTTTTAATTTTATTGTCAAAATGGATCATCCATTCGAACCGGACAGTTGGACCATCGACCCAGAAATCAGTGGCCAGAACGGTTCCGTTTCCGAATCATTTTTTAAAACACAGGGGCGGAGCCAAGAGGTGTAAAGGCTGAGAGCTTGAGAAGTGAGGCGGTGGCCCCAGCCAAATGAAGAATCGTGGCTCCGTCCCTCCCAGCAAACAATTAACAATGCTCAGCTCAGGTGAGTGCTGGCTTACCATTTTCAACTCATTCTTCACTAACTTGATATCATCAAGACTCACAGTCCGATGCACGAATCGCTTGCGAGTGAATCCCACGCCGCGTCCACCTTTAAGAGGCGTATCCGTGTCTTTGATAAACACCGACGTCGCCAAGAACTTGAAGATATCCACCGTCGAATTCCAGAGCAAGTGCAAAACAGCCAATACCGAAGAGAGGACCCACAGGAACCACGAGCCGGAGGTCCCTGTAGCCGCTCTTTTCTGTACCGGAATCGTCGGCAATGCTCCTCCATCGGAGCTCTTACGGGTGCACGCAAGCAGCAGAGATATGAGGGACATGCCATCGCCAAGGGAGTGGTGGATCCGAAAAACGCCCACTGCCTCCGCCTCGGAGGTTTTCACGTTGAGGAGATGGAGTTCCCAAAGCGGCTTTGACATGTCGATAGCAGTTCTGGTAAGATCGGAGACATAATCTTCTAGGAACTGGTCGAGCGACTCCATGTTTGGGTCCAGCTCTGGAACGATAACGTGGTTGTCCAGATCCACCTTGGTTCGAACCCAATTCATCTCCCCACTTTTGCCCTCGCTGGCCACCTGCTTTTTTTTTTCAAGAAATAACGTAACTAATTAAGCATGCTTCAATTTTTTTTTTTTCAGATTTGCTAAAAGAAACTTTTTTTTTTTTCTCTGGGGGGCTTCTGTTTGTAAGCTTAGTGAGTCAAAAATAGCCACTCTCCAAATTCAATCATGTCCAGACTTCAGAGTTTACATAATGGAACTAGTAAGGTGGTGGTTACGATTGCCAAAACAGTTCTATCGGACATTTATGACTTATGACATATGAGCAAATTAGGGGCCCTCTCTCACCGACTATAGCGGGGGATAACATTAGAATAGTTGAAATCTTCCGACATAATTGACTTTGTTCCACTCATAATCAGATTTTATTTTTAGAGAAATAACATAATTTTCTGTCAATAATACGTAAAATTTGGTAAAATATCTCGTCCTTCTGCGTGTGTTGTTTTCATCCGATTATTTATGGAGTCTTACGCTAATCACTTTACTTCTTAATCCATGCAATAATAGTGTAAGCACGCTATGCACTTACTTGCGTGCAATTGGGTATATGGTATATATTTAGATTTAACTTTATGACCTACAACAAAAATATAAGTAAATATCTATTATATATAATTTATAATTTTTTATTTTCTTTAATTCTCTCTCATCAAATCTTATATTTAAGATATTATCCTTATTGCTTAAAAATGGTTTTAAGGTATTTCAAATTTTCTGACAACTGATAAAATTCTCCCCAGTGTTCGTTAATGTTCTATTACAATCCGTTTACATGTAACATCACATTATGCACAGAATTTTTTTATATCCCAATATTACCTTTCTGTGGTTGATTTTACCCTTTATTATTCATCAAAACTTCAGGATATTGGTTGGATATTTTTTTGCCGCTCTTTCTTCCCCCAAATATTTTTTTTTTCTCTTAATTTCTACCGCACCATCATAGTTACTTTAAAGCTTCACTACTTTTATTTCTTGTCTCGTCGGAATCCTTCTTGGTCTCAATTTGGATTAAAGTGCCTAAACCCAACCCAACATTATTCAAACCAAAGCTCAATCTAACCATGTGCACATGCACACACATATATATAATGCATACATCATACATGTATACATATATTTATATTAAAACGTAGTGTGGATTGATCGACCAATTCGAGTGTGCTCCCAATCCAAATACATGAACTTTCAGTGCAGGTTGGGTTTAGGTTGGACATTACAAGCTTGAACTTGGAGATGTAAAGTGGGTCATTCCGAGCTGGCACGGCAAAGTCCATGGGTGGCCCGCGGGCCATCATGGGTCGTGCCACCATCCCTGGTGAAAATTTTGGAGGATGGCCTAGCACGGCCCACGGCCTAGGCCTGTGCGGGCCCATGCCGTGCCGCAGGCCAGGCTGGCCCGTGGGCCGACCCTTGGGCCCAGTCGGGTCGTGCATCGGGCCAAAGTTATTTATTTAAAAAAAATTGTTAAAAAACTTAAAATTTTAATTTTATTTGAATTTTGTGTATAAAATTGCTTGTATATACAATAATTAAATAAATTAGTATAATAAAAGTAAAAAATATATTTATTTTATTAATATATTAATAATATTAGGTATGTCTCTAATATGTAAATAAGAATTGTTTTTACTGAAAATGAAATGAAATGCATAATGTAAAATCAACTAAAAATGAAATTGTTTTCCTATTTGATAGTGGGTCAACAATTCATTTTTTAGGTCAAATGTGCCAACTTTCATTATAATAATTAAATAATAAAAATTAAAAAATATTGATAGTGGGTCAACTTTCATTTTTTAGGTCAAATGTGCCAATTCATTTTTTAGGACACATGACACATCTACAATATTGTATATTCATCATATTAAACAAAAATAAGTATAAGGATTGTTTTATACATATAGAAATATAAAAATTTGTGAAAAAATCTAACACATCTATATCTATCTATACTACTATTAAAATTATGAACAAGCTTGTGAAATTTCTTTTACTAAAATACCCCTATTTTTAAGTTTAATCCCTCTTAAAAATTAAGATCATGACTATTAATTTTCACTTCATTCAATTCCCTCATACAATGTGCTATATTTAGAGTATTTGACCCACATTATTAATCATTTAAGCTTATATTTAAGGTGTTTTTTCACCAATAAATTCTAGTAATTAGATTATTATCAATACTTTTTAAAAAATATAAAAACCATGTTTTCTTAATTGACCTAAAAATGAAAATGTTCTTCTAATCATGCGGTGGTTAAGTAGTGGTGTACAATTAGTCAAGGACCTAACGGGTTATTTGGTTTGACCATTTTCTCCAACCAAACTAACTGACCCTAACTAAATTCAATTTGGTTTGGTTCGATTTTGAGTTTAGTTGGAACCTAATTCCACATAAATATGGTAAGCATTTAACAATTAATGAACAATTACTAAGTGTTCTTAATTAAAAGTTAGAAGGGCCCAAAGCCCATTGCTAATGGGGAATTGCCAAATTGACCATTATTCACAAAAAATTAATGAACGAGTAATAATTAGTTTTGATTTTAATTAACAATTATTAATTAAAAGTTAGAATTGACCCAACGCCCAATAGGGAATTGCCAAATTGGTCATTGGACAATATAATAATTAATATGTATAAAGTATTAAATAGAACATTAAATATTTAATATACTTAATTAAATAAAACACTAGTTCAATTTTCAGTTAGGTTCGGTTGAAAACCTCAGCCCAACCGATACCCGAATTAACTAAACCAAACTAGTTTATTTGGTTTGATTTTCAGATTATCATTCGAATTTGAACACCCCTATGGTTAAGCCATTGGATCATCTAGGTTAAATAAGTCAACCTATGATGTCATAATCAAATAATAAAACTTAAAAAAAATAAAGTACAAAAAAATTATCAAAATAACACATCTCTAATATTATAAATATTCATTATATTAAACAATAAATAAATAAATATAATAAATAATAATTATTTTTATACATAAAAATATAAAAAATTGGGCATATAGTAATGTCATCATCATCAAATTGCCAATACAATATATGTGTACATTTTTTTGATACGTTTATGTGTAGGACCACTCATTACGACTGACACCTTACATATGGTTAACAATCATTAAACAAGTATTGCTTGTGTGGAGCAAAATGATTGGTCTCCACAGAGGCACAGACCGTAAAGAAACTATCAGTTCAGCTAAGCCATTCTTGTCTGCATGGCTGAAATGCAACCGTTTAACTAACTTTTGAGGTAAGACCTATATAGATAAACTTTAAGTTATGTTTGGTGAAAATTTCAGATAATCCAAATTGACCGTTAATCAATTATTTACTTTGAGTTGTATACATCAGTCTCGGCTCCATTTTAGTGGCTGATTAGAGAATATTACGGACAAGGATAAAATCGAATTCGGATCGACACCCCGACGAGCACGCCCCACAGTCCATCCCAGCCATCTATTGAAAATATCTCCCATTACAAGTACAAGAGATACTTCAAAGCGCAATGATATAGTACATGTGGGGCACTAATCTGATCTGGATAAAATCATCAAGAGATTTTTAGATTTCTTAGAAATACCTATTGATAGATACTGATATAGAAAAGTTTTTTTTTTTTTTGATAAGTCTGATATAGAAAAATTTTTAGCTGAGACCAAATCAGTCACTCACAAGATTGCCCCCCACAATGTCCCATAGCACATTCAGGCCGTGTATTGAGAACATTTCCCAATGGTAATTCCAGAAATGATGATGTCACCATTGGGAGATGTTTCCAATATATGGCGGGGATGTGCTGTGTGATGTTGTGGACGGCAATATTGTGGGGAAAAGATTTACACTTTTTTTAGCTGTATTTGTCAAAAAAAAATAGATTTAAGGAACTGGATAAATTTATTAAACTACCCTTATTATTTAACTAATTGATTGAATATATCCTTACTATTTGACTATTGTCTAAGGCTATTCTTACTGTTTCAGAAAATTACTAATTACCGTTAAATATTGAAGAAAAGCTGAAATGTTTGTTTTTCCCTTAAGTTTAATTTACACGTGAGAATAGAGATGGAGCACCATCGCCTTTGCCTATGACATTTATCACTGCAATTTTCGGATGAGTGCGATGGTGAGAAGAAAAAGCCAACAAAGAAGGCAAGGTTCCCAAAATCGACGGAGAGAGGTTGGAGATCTCCGAGTAGTTCCGAAAGGTTCGAATATCTTAAATCTGAGAGATAGATACTCAGAACTGGGCATCTACATCGCAACCCAAAAGACTGAAGAGGACGTCAACGACCAGATGAGATTTTCGTAGCGATGAAGCTTCCTTTCTGCAGAAAGAGGGGCAAAGTTGACGAAGAAGAAAGAAGAAGAATAAGGAAATAAAAATCGGGCTTCTTTTCTCTTTCTTCTATGGCCAACGCCAAAGAGATTTCCATCTCTCCCTCTCTCTTGCTCCACCGTCCACCAGTGGCGCACATTGCCTCCCTCTCTCAGCCTGTAATCTCTCTCTCCACAAACTTTAAAAGCTCACTCTCTTTCTCTCTCCACAAAGTTTAAAAGCAAAAGAAATCAAACCCCAAGCATATCTCAAACTCTCTCGACATTTTTACTCTTGAAGTTATTGAAATGGCCATTAGATTGAACTTTTTCAATTAGGTGAAGGGTGAGTAAGTGAATGAATTTTGATGGGTTTGTTTTGCTGAGAGAATCGATTATAGATGAGGATCTGTTGATCGTATCAGGTTCTGTTTTGGTAGCACTAACAATCATTGGAGAGTCAAAAGGTGTCATCATTGGGGAATCAAAGGAAATATATGTTCTTGGCTATCAGTAGATAGGGATTTTAAAGTTTGGAATACAACAAATCTTTTGATAGGCCACTTTTATTTTTCTTTTTAATTTTTTTTGGTTAATATCCTACTAACAAATTGTGTATAAAAAGTATACAAGTGTTTTCCCATGGGGCGTTGATGTAATTTCAATTTGATATTAATA